ACGCGTCTGCTTGCCACTGTTGTCACTGACCCGTCGTTTGAGTCTGCTGCTGCGTCTGCCTTAGTCACTGAGCTTGTTGCCTTTGCTGCTCACTGTCGTCTAGACTACGCCGCCAGTCTTGTTGCTGAGTCTGCGTCTGTCTGTCCTCCGTCCGTCGGGGGTGAGTGTGCTCTTGGCACGGACGTCCTTGAGGACAGGAAGGAGGACCTTGAGTGTCTTGCAGCCGCTGCGCCTCATCTCGTATCCATGCTGCTTGCCCCTGAGGGAGACTCGGATGCACCAGACATCCCTACCCCACGCTCTTACGCTGAGGCGATCGCGGGTGAGTACTCCTCTCAGTGGCAGATAGCCATGGACGCAGAGATGGCATCCTGGAAGTCCACAGGCACCTACGTCGACGAGGTTCCCCCTCCTGGGGCGAACATTGTCGGTGGCATGTGGATTTTCAGGGTGAAGCGGCCGCCAGGTTCTCCGCCTGTCTTCAAGGCTCGGTACGTGGCTCGAGGCTTCAGTCAGCGAGAGGGAGTTGACTTCTTCCAGACCTTCTCCCCCACCCCGAAGATGACCACTCTTCGGGTGCTGCTGCACGTTGCCGCTCAGCGTGACTACGAGCTTCACTCTCTTGACTTCAGCACAGCCTTCTTACAGGGCAGCCTGCACGAGGAGATTTGGCTGCGCCGCCCTCCTGGCTTCACTGGGTCGTTCCCTCCTGGTACCCAGTGGAGCCTCCGGCGGCCGGTCTACGGTCTCCGCCAGGCGCCACGTGAGTGGCACGACACACTGAGGACGACACTTGCGGCTCTTGGGTTTGCTCCGTCGACTGCTGACCCGTCGCTGTTTTTGCGCACCGACACTTCGCTGCCGCCGTTCTACGTTCTCGTGTACGTCAACGACTTGGTGTTTGCCACTGCTGACACTGAGGCTCTCGCCCTGGTGAAGTCGGAGCTGCAGAAGAGACACACGTGCACAGACCTGGGTGAACTGCGCAGCTACCTTGGCTTGCAGATCACCCGGGACAGAGCACGCCGCACCATCACACTGACTCAGTCACACATGGTGCAGCAGGTCCTTCAGCGCTTCGGTTTCACCTGGTCCTCAGCACAGGCCACTCCTCTGGCTACAGGTCACTCGCTCTCAGCTCCACCTTCGGACGAGTCCGTAGAGCCGAGTGGTCCTTACCCAGAGTTAGTGGGCTGCCTCATGTACCTGATGACTTGCACTCGTCCTGGCCTTACGTACCCTCTTGGCCTTCTGGCTCGCTACGTGGCTCCTGGTCGGCACCGAAAGGTGCACATGGATGCTGCCAAGAGGGTACTACGCTACTTGTGCAGTACATCGGGCATGGGGCTCGTGCTTGGAGGACGGGGTGACGTTGTCCTCACAGGTCACTCGGACGCCTCTTGGGTTGACGACCAGGCTACGCAGCGGTCGTCACAGGGTTACACCTTCAGCCTTGGTTCTGGTTCAGTTTCCTGGCGTTCTACACGTTCGTCTTCAGTTCTCGGCTCCAGCTGTGAGGCAGAGATCTACGCCACAGCCATGGCCTCACAGGAGCTGCGCTGGCTCACCTACCTGCTGACCGGCTTGGGAGAGAGGCCTCGTTCTCCTCCAGTTCTGTACGTCGACAACAAGGCCGCCATTGCCTTGTGTCAGGAGCACAGACTGGAGCAGAGAACAAAGCACATTGCTCTCCGTTACTTTCTTGCTCGAGAGCTGCAGCAGCGTGGCCAGCTTCGTCTTACCTACGTGGCCACTCGGGCCAACACTGCTGATATATTCACCAAGGCGCTTCCGCCTGGTGATCATCAGCGTTTCTGCACTTTGTTAGGCCTTGTGCCCACTCTTCCTCACTTGCTGTAGGCTTTGTTTGTACCATGATTTATATGTATTCCTGCATACTTGTTCTTGTAGGTAGATATCACTGTATTGTTGCTGTTACATATATATTTCTGCATGTGAACTGGCCTTGTGGCCTTCTTGCTTGTGCTCAGACTGCGTGGTGACGTTGTGATCCACCCTGAGCTTGCTTTGCACTTCCTGACTGGTCTTGTGACCCTCTGTTTTCCCCCACTTTGCCTATGGGGGTGTGTCAAAAATATGTTTATATTTGTTATAGTTTGGGTAGGCTTAGTGGGGTACTTACTGTGGGGTACAACCCCTTGGGTTCTCACTTTGTACCAACCCCCTCGATAGTCGAAACCACCTTTTTCCCATAAGATTCTAACAGTGACTTCTTGAGCTTGCAGACACTTGGCGGATTTGTCGGATAGGTATGCGGATATTCGACGTAGATTTCAGCATCGACGTCAGCGTATAGAAATGCGTTGGAAACGTCAATTTGTCGAAGCGGAAAATTCTTCGCAGCTGCTTCGCAGATGACGAGACGAACACTTGTGTGTCGGCTGACCGGGGCGAAGGTTCGCGTGTAGTCTACCCCATGAGTTTGGTCAAAACCGCGAACAACCCACCTTGCCTTATGTTTTTCATAAGAGCCATCAGCTTTCGTCTTCACCCTGAAGACCCATTTTTCGGTAAGAATATTTTTATTTGTAGCTTTTTCGATGGGTATGAGATCCCAAGTCTCTCGTTTTTCCAAGGCAGCCAGTTCACGATCCATGGCTTCACGCCATTTTCCACGATGTGGTCCTGAAAGGGCCTGCCGGGCAGTTTTCGGTTCTGCGAATTCTGTAGAATTGTGCTGTACTACTGCTGCGAGTTTCAGTATCTGAAGCCCAGCTTGATAGTTAGGACTGTCTTCGGTCCGTCCTGCGAAATTGACAGGTTCACTCTGTTCACCACTTGCCCCCCCAATTTCGTAAGGATCGACGCGGATGCTGCTGTCAGTTACAGCTGGCATGGGACGTCGTTGATCGTCCACCAGGTAAGTATGATGAACTTCACGAACATCGTCCGGATGAGCGTCGACGAGAGGAATGAATTCCGGAAATCCGGAAGAGGTGGTTGGTATAGGTGGATCAGGAGCAGCTTCACGTGGACCGTCAATGTCAGGTTCTTCGCTGGCAGCGAGTTCGGCGTCAGCGCTGGCGAATGAACGAACACCGTGGAAAATTGTAGCAGGGTCACGTTGCGTGGCGAGATACTGTTCGAAGACAGGAAGGGCCAGGTTTTCGTAGAAAATACAGTCGCGAGCAGAAATTAAAAGACGACTGCGCTAATCCATGATACACCAGGCAGAAAACTGCTTCTCAAGGCCGAGATGAAGACCCCACTTAGCGCGTTGATCGAGCTTTCCGAGCGGAGCGGTGGGAGGACGATATTGCACGATACACCCAAAAGCTCGAAGAAGTTTTGTAGTGCCCAATTTTCCTGTCCACAACAAGTGAGGTGATGCGTTGTTGGGTAAAGCCGATGAAGACAGGAGGTTATGCAACCGTGTTGCATGGTCCATTCCGAAGGGCCAGTAGAGTGGGCCGAGTTGAGATTGTGCGAGTAGTGCTCGCATCTTTTCTTGCAGAGTACGATTGAGGCGTTCAGCTACACCGCTCTGTTGGTGAGCGTGAGGAAGTGAGAACAGGCGCCGTATGCCTCTTTCTTGCAGGTATGCTGTAAACTCGAGACGGCAATATTCCCCAGCTCCGTCACACTGGAAGGTTTTGAGTTTGGTGTCGGACTCGCGTTCTGCGAGAGGCAGCCATGTTCGAAACGCTGTGAAGGCAAGAAAACGGTTAGTCATGTTACCAGTCCAGATGTATCGAGAAGATGCTTCAGTGAACGTGATGACGTATTTCTCGCCATTGAAACCCTCCGCAGGTAAGTTTAGAATGCCTGACGGCTGTCAGATTTTCGGACACTCTCCCAGCCGACACTTCAAGAAACTCGTTTTTGTGCCACGAGGTCACCGACAGGGAGAACCCACATCACCTTCCGGACCCCATATTGGTTGCGTGAGATGCAGAGCCTCTCATATCACCTTTCCGTGGATTTGCGCCCAATGTCGCGGCTCGGTTCTCACATTGAAATTTATGCGACTCGGGCGTTCCATCAGTCCCGCAGATCTGCTGTGTGTATCGTGGCTACTCGGTTTCTCATTGCTACTCCCACCTTCCCAACCAAGCAGACGTATCATCCCACTTGCACAGCACATCCCATCCCATTCCAAGAATGCTCACATCCACACCACACACTAGCCGTTTCATTGCACCTAGCTTCTAGGAATATTTTATCCACCAGCCATCATCAGCAGAAAGCGGATTCCACATGCACATCGGAGCGCAGATAGCCGACACAGAGGTCTTAGAAAAACCTGAACGCTGCACATCACGATAAGAAGTGCCTGCCTTTCGTAACTGGCGCGCGGGCTTGTCGGACACCACGAAGATATCGAGCCTCCAGCCACTTTCGTTTTAGTATTAACACCATTGACCAACACAGAAATTACTGCGCTCGAGTGAGAAGCTCATTGAATGAACCACATCACGCCACTTAGGTAGGTTAGTAGTAAGTGCACCCACGGTAACTACCCGGGCCCCCGCTATACCTATAAGAGCCGTATAACAACCTTCACTGCTATTATTGTTACCGCATATTCCAGCACTTTGCTCTAACACCATCCACGGCCCATGGCGCGTCTTCCGCACCTTACCTTCCGGGCGTGCCTTCTTCTTCTGGCCGTTGTAGCTTTAGGCGCCGCGCCATGCGTGCTGGGTAGGCATTCCATGGTCGCGTCGCTTCTACCCACTCAGTTCGACACAAGCAGCGAGATGAGTGGCAGAGAGCTTCTATCGAAGTCGAATGCAGCGGGATCGACCGCGACTCCGCTGGCGACTTCGAGCGATAAATCGCCGCCGAAATCGTCGCCAACGAAATCGCCGCCAACGAAATCGCCCCCGGTGAAATCTCCCCCGAAATCCTCATCCCCGCCAAAGAGCTCCTCGCCACCCAAGACAAGCTCACCGGCGCCGACAAAAAAGAAGGGGCTGATTAAACGGCTTATTCCGAAGCGGAAGAAGAAGGCGGAAGCCGGGGACAGCGGACCCGCCATGGTGAACCTCGCTGACGCGCAGAAGGTGTTCACGCTGGTGATGTCGCTGAGCAAGCAGAAGCAGTTCGTAGAGTTCTTCCAAAAAGCAGGTACGCATCGAGTTTGTCCAGTAAGCAGGTAAGGAGAAGCAGTTCGTGGCGTTATTCTAAAGAGCCTCGAAAAGAAGCTGTTAATCCGGTGATGTGTCGCCGAGCAAGGAAAAACACGTCACTGTCGGACTGAAGTTGACTTGGTTGACTTTCGCCCATTTTCTCGTCTCTTTCGTGCGTGTTCCAGGTCTGCTGGCAACCCTTCTCGAGGCGACAGTCAAGGCCGGCACCAGCGGCGCGACGTTCCTCGTGCCGTCCCCTGACGCGCTGCAGGCGATGCCGCCCGCATCGCCTTACATCAATAACCCGCTGCTCGCGCGCGCCACGCTCCGATACCACATGATCCTCGGAAACAAATTCGACTACACGAAGCTTGTCGAATTTTCGCCCAATAGAAAGGTACGCTTGTAGCGGGTCAAATGTCGAACAGAAATGCACGGTGACGAGCATAGTGGCATCAATTACGAAGTCTCTGCCTTGCTGAGATCAACTTGCTATAACGCATTTACTCACCCCGTTTCCCCCTGCCTCCGCACTTTCCTGTCCTCATGCATGCTATTCTCCTGCGTTTCCCCTCTATTCCCCCCTTCGCCAATCCCGTGCGAACAGTTCGCGACGCTCGCGAAGAGGCCCGTGTTCAAGTCGGACGAGAGCGCGTTTTTCACGGTCGTGTTTCGGTCGGGCAGCGGGCGGTCGAAATCAACAATGATCGCGCCGAACCTCGCCAACACCACCTCCTTCCAACTGCACCTCGTCGACTCGCTCCTCATTCCCGATGACGTCTACCGCGCCCCGCCCGCGAATGGCGGCGGCAACGACGGCGGTGACGACGGCGATGACGGCGATGCGTCCCCGCCCCCGCCTTCCCCCAAATCCCCGCCCAAGTCCCCGCCTCCGACCCCTCCCGCTTCCCCCAGCCTTCCGCCTCCTGTGGTCAGCTCTCCGCCTCCGCCTACGCCGGTTACCACCTCCCCGCCGCCCCCCGTTGTTACCACCTCTCCCCCGCCCCTCGTTGTTACCACCTCTCCCCCGCCCCCCGCTGTTACCACCTCTCCCCCGCCCCCCGCTGCTTCCGCTTCCCCCCCGCCCCCCACGGGCGGGGTGGCGTCACCGCCTCCTCCCGTGTAATCGAGCCCGTGCTTACTCTAATAACCAGGGCGTGTTACACTTGTATGGCCTGCCTTGAGTCTGTGTGTAGTCGAATTTGTCTGACCAAACGGGAACCAAGTGGGATGCAGCAGCTCTTCTCCTGGTGCTTCTCCTGACGCTGCTCCTACTCCAGCTGCTGCTGCTTCTGCTGCTGGTGCTGCTCGTCCCGTTATAGCAACCACACATGCGAAATGCTGTTGTCAATCAGGATGTGGAACATTGGACATTTGGTTGTGTGAGAGGCACAAGTGGGCTGATGAATAATTGTGATGTATACTTGAAGTCATAATGTAAAAACACACTGTTCCCATCTACCTGCAGATTTCATTTCAAGTTCCCCCCAAAACATTGATAAAAACATGTAGAAAACGCAGATCAAAATGGCAGTAGCCCTGTCCACAATCCACTTGCTTCACAATCCATCCTCTTCGTTTCTTCAACCCCGGAGCAACAGCCCTACTCCTCGTATCCCCTCCCGCCGCAATCGTAGCCACCACTCACGAAAGCAGCAGCGCTCACTTCTTGCCTCCCCTCTTCACCCTGTTGGGGTTAACCTTCAACCCTAGCGCAACAGCCATTCTCCTCGTATCCCCCCCAGCCGCAATCGTCGCCATCACCGCTCGGCTGTTCACCGCGCCCCCTCCTCCCGCCTTCCCCTCGCCCACCTCATCAAAGAAAGTCACAAAATCAGGCGCCAGCACGTCAGTGGGCTTTCCTTTCTTCTTGGTGAATCGCCGCCGTCCGTTTTTAGGCAGAAGCTGGTCTTCTCGTAAGACAGGGTCCTTGGCTGCTCCTGTCCTGCCTCCTTTCGGCATGGGCAGGGAGAACTGCGGATGGGAGGAGGGTGGGAATGAGCAGGGGTAAGAGAGTCAGGTGCCAGCGCGTAGGTGAGTTTGCCTTCTTGGTGAATCGCTGCCGGCCGTTTTTTGGAAGGAGCTGGTCTTCCCTCAAGACAGGGTCCTTGGATGCTCCTGTCCTGCCTCCCTTAGGCATGGGCAGGGGGAACTGCAGATGGGGAAAGGGGTGGGATTGAGCATGGGTAAATGAGGTGCCCTTCTTCATTCTTGCCTCCCATCCCCCTCCAAATCGCGTCCCCCCCTTCCCTTACCTTGCTGCCTCGGATGATGTACTGTTTTCACCACCCCATCCCTTGCTTCACCCCATGCCGTGCCGTGCCCCCTCCCTACCACTCCCCCTACTCGCTCACCTTGCTACCACGAATGTTGTGTCTCTTGCGCACGCCTGCATGCACCACACCATCCACTCCCACCGTCACTGTCACCTGCAGGGCGTGAGCAGAGGAGGGAGCGCGTAGGGTATGAGTGTGAGTATGAGAGAGAGAGAGGGACCTTGCAGGGGCACGCCTGCATGCACCACGCCATCCAATCCCACCGTCATTGTCACCTGCACGCACGTGGAGCACAGGGAGAGAGAGAGGGAAATAGAGCGAGGGAAATAAGGGGAAGAGAGAGCTCGCGTGTGCGAGGAGGGGGAGCGAGAGCGCATGTGTGTGAGAGTGAAGGGGGAGATAAAAGTGCGCTTTGAGGCGACAAGGTTCACAATGAAGTTGAAGCCACCTTGTTGAGTGTGGTGCCGTTGCCGCAGTCAGGACAGAAGACCCGCGTCATGTCGGGTGGAGCAGGAGAGAGAAAGCGTGTGCGTGTGAGAGAATGGGGAGAGAAAGCGCGAGTGTGAGTTCAAGGTAAGGTGAAGGTCACCTTGTTGAGTGTGGTGCCGTTGCCGCAGTCAGGACAGAAGACGCGTGTCATGTCGGGCGTTACAGCAGAGCAGGCAGAGCAGCGCTGCACCCACCTGGAGCGAGTGAGAGTGAGAGTGAGAGAGTGAGATAGAGTGAGTGAGATAGATAGAGTGAGATAGAGTGAGTGAGATAGAGAGAGTGAGATAGAGTGAGTGAGATAGAGAGAGTGAGATAGAGTGAGTGAGATAGAGAGAGTGAGATAGAGTGAGAGAGAGTGGAGGCACAGGATGGAAAGACGTGGAGGAATGAGGAGAGGACGCAAGGAAGCAAGGACACAAGGGGAGGAGAGAGAGATAGGGGGAAAGATGGAGTGAAAGAAACACCAACAGGAAGGATGAATAGACGGAACACCGAAGAGGGGGTGAACGATAGACTAGACCTGCTCGGTGGTAGGCTCATCCTAAGGCACCTGAAAGCTACCTGAGTTTCACCCGGATTTTCACCTGAAGGCTCACCTGTGCACCTGGGCGATGCGCATCCCTGATTGGGCGGAGAGGAGGCGCAGGCCCATCTGCAGTGCCACGTTCTGCATGGCGTAGTCTGACGTCATCAGGGCCACTGCTGACGTGGATAACGATGATGATGACGTGGACGCTGCTTCACTGCTGCCGTCCGAACTCCCCTCCCCCTCTCCGTCATCCTCTCCCTCCTCTCCTCCCTCCTCTCCTTCCTCCTCCTCTCCCTCCTCTTCCTCTCCCTCCTCTTCTCCACTCCCCTCCTCTTCCTGCCCTTCCCCTTCTCCCTCATTCGCTTCCCCACCTTTCCCTTGCTCCTCCTTGTCCTCTCCCCCCACATCAGCATCACCCGCACCGCCGCTCTGCTTCTCCTCATCCCCAACATTCCCTCCTTCCGCGCCATCCTTTCTCTCCTCTTCCCCACCCTTCCCCTCCTCCCCGCCACCATCACCCCCCATCGCGGGCGGCCCCCCCGCCAGCGCGGCTGCGCGCTGCGCCTGCTCCTGCGCAATGCGCGCCAGCTCCTCCATGGCCGCGCGCTTCCCCGCCCTGCGCTTCCACCTCCGCCGCCCGCTCTTCCCCCTCGCCGCCTCCCACTCCCCATCGTCCTCCTCACCCGCTCCCTCCTCTCCCTCTCCCTCCTCTCCTGCTGTTCGCCCTGCTGAGTCAGCATGCCCTCCCGCCACGTTAGCAGGCTCTCCTCGCTTAGAGGCATCTACCCCAGCCACGACTAATTTCCCCTCGAACCGCTCTTCAGCTACTAACGGCTTTATTTCCCGAGGCGCCCATCTGCGTCCCCCCCGCCCTCTACACCCGCCTCTCCCCCTCCCCCCCCCAACTGTCCCCCACCCGGGCATCTCCCCCGCCTGCTCCGCTTCCCCGCCTGCTCCGCCCTTCCGCGCACCATCTTCCCCCCCTTCCCCTGCTCCCCCATTTCCCCCCAAGTTCATCTGTTGAAGTCCCGCCTCCACACTCTCCGCGCCCCCGTTCCCCCCAGTTTCCGCCTCCAACCCACCCGTCTCCTCACCCGCTTTCCCCTCCCCCGCCTCCTCCCCCTTTTCTTCACCTTCCGCGTTCTCATCCCCCTCCCCCAAAACCCTCACCCCTAAAATCCGAGATCCACCTACCCCCTTCCCCTTCCCCCTCCCCCCATCGTCCGCCACCGCGTCGATCCCCGACCACTCATCCGGATTCGCCACGTTTTCTGCGCCCCACCCGGGTAGCGCCTGGCGCATCGCAACGTTTGTCCTCTTCTGAAAGACAGGGCGGGCGGGGGCGGCGCGGAGATTCGCGCGGCCGTGAGATCGAATCTCCTCCGTCACTGCGAGCGCCAGCAGCTTGGAATCGACGGCGGATAGAGTGCCCACGTCGCCAGTGGCGCGAGCGAAGCGCAAAACTGGGGTAGGAGGAGAAAGAGGTGGGAAAAGGGAGAAGAGGGAGTTGGGCGGAGAAAGTACGGGTTAATGTGTGTGTGTAAGGGTGTGGGGGGAAGGGGGGGGGTTGGTGCGGAGGCGGGGTTTGGGATTCGATATTAACTCTGGAGAGCCCGGGAGAATGCAGCTGGTGTGAGCAAGTAAAACCCCCAACCCTGGGCATCCCTAAACAGCACCTGTAAAGGGTTACCCGTTTAATACCTAAACAGCAACTCTTTAGAGAACTACCCTCTTAATACCCCCCCCCCTAGTTAAACCCCTTATCCTCCTTAACGTACCCTCCTTAATCGCCTCTTCACTGGGCTCTCGACATTTGATATCGAAGGGGAGAACGGACAACTGCTGCCGCGCGGTGCGATCCCGAACCTCCGCCAGCACCTCGCGTACAGTCACAATCTCCGCCTCGCTCGCGAATTTCTGCAACGAGGCCCCCGAACCCCCCGAAATAAGAACATTCGCGTCCACTACTAGCACCTGCACCGCTCCAGATGCGGCGGCGCCGGACGCGGAAGGTATCTGGCTGCGCGCCGCAGCGTCTGCGCTGGATCCGCTGGCGGGTTTCCCGCCTGATGCCACGTCAGCTCCGCTCGTGACCGCATTGGCACCGTGAGAAAAAGCGGCGGAGATCCCGGATCCGCCTTGATCCGCTTCCGCGGATTCGCAGAGGGATTCGCGCAGGGATACTGCGCGGGGCGCTCCCCAAGCGGGTTTCGGGTTGGGGAGCTCGGATGGCGCTACAGCTTCTTGTGCAACTAGCGGAGGGAAGTCGTCATCTGGAGCCGCGGCCATGCTGCAAATTGCAGACGACAGCTAGACGGATTTATTGATGGTACAGTGGTGGGTAGCTTGTCTGGAAAGATGGAAACTAGTAACGGCTGGAGTATATGCTGCGTGCTTCCTGAGTGTGAAGACAAGGAATAGGGGGTTTTGAGGGGGTATGGGATTGTGGAACATGAGGATGTTTGGAAAGAAATCGAGCGTAAGCAGTGAACGAAACGTTTGCCTGGAGTTTGTCATTGTAATAAGGTCGAGAACATTGCTCTGTATAGAGTACGGTTTTCCCTAGTCTTCGCCTTCTTGTCAGGTCAGGTGCCCGGCTCTGACAAGCATAACAGCGCTTCTGGTTTTCTATTGTGCCGATTTCAACGGACAGGATGCTCTTGAAGGTTGATCCGCTGACAATCGTCGATCACCAGAGTTTTTCCGGTCAGACCGTCGCGTCAGAACCTCGAACCGAAGCGCTCTTCCCTGAAAATCAGACATTCACCCCTCGCCGTTCAGCAAGCACCCTATGGTTCGGGCCGAGCCATCACAGGGTATATCCAGCCAATA